CATATGATTTTACAAGTAACATCAAGTTAAATGCCTGCCACATCTTCATTAATGCTTTCTAGGTTTTGCCAGGACTTTAAAGGCTACCTGTCATAGTCGCTTCTGCGAATCACGTCTGGCTATCCTGATTCTGAATCTTCCCCGAAATAAATACAAATACAAAGGTCTTCACTCCTCCCTCAAAAAAGGAGCTGCGAGAAACCGCTGCACACCACAGAATACTCGCACACTTATGGAATGTGAAGTTGAGAAGGGATGGGGGGGAGGGGACAATGTTCGAAAGCTTCCGAGCACATTGGATTTTTAAACATGTGTTAGCACTTATCAGTACAGGAAGAGAGTTTTGCTCACACAGCTTGCAGAAACTTAAGCCGAAGACGTTACACCCTGTATTGGGGCAAGAACCCTTGGGAGAGGGAAAAGCTCTTTAAAGAGCCAAGGGGCAAAGTCCTAAATAAAGAAAAATACCCAAAAGAGTTGACATCATGATTGAAGAGGTCTGAGCACAAGCAAAAAATGGGTTAAAGGCTTTATGCAGAGGAGCCTCTCGGGACGGTCTGTGAACTTTCTTGCCCACGATGGATCCCAGGACTGTCTCTGTCTGTCTCACATCACACTCTTAGTCGTTTTTATTTTGCATGCCTCTCTGCAGCTGGAATACAGAACACTAGAACTATTCTTAAGCCCCAGGGTGAAAGACGGCAAAAAATGCTGATGTGCAGAGAATCCTGGTTTGTCATTCTGGTTCAGGGCAAAGGATCACGAGAACACAGGCATCTTAAGTGTGTCACAAATCTATGAGTCAAGTACCACTCCTCCCTTGCCACCATCCCTTTAGGTGCCTGAGCTGGCTGATGTGGTTATATAGGACGTAAATTGCAGGCCTTATTCATCTCATGCACGGAAGAACAAACAAGAAAAGGGATCGGAGGAAAAGATCTTACTCTAAAATCCTGACAAGACACCAAGGGTTTCAGATTCCAGTGGCTTAAAATTAACCAAAGTATCAGAAATCAAAATTTTCAGATTCACACACATTTATTTAAACGGTGCAAGCTGTTCTCCTGCAAAATGTTTATTCCAATTTCCAACGCTTGGCCCCCGGGGACTGAAAAGTATATTTGTGACTCACAAGTGAACCTTGCACGGATTTCTAGATCCTGGTGAAGGGGGGGTTCCCTCCCTTAGCTTTTTGTCAAATATCACAAAATCAGAATAGCTGGATTTATAAAAAGACCAACTGATTCTCACAGCTGCTATGTCTACATGTGTAGTGATTAGGATTACCAAAGAACTAAATCTGGAAGGCGGGAAGAGGCAACACCAAAGATAAAAGCATGTTAAATTTTAAACAAGCGAAGCGAACAATGGGCCACAGACTGGTCTATTCTCAATTAGTAACTAAAATTACATAGTGCACTGCTCTCCCGTTGGGCGTCTGGGGCAGGGGTATGAGCAGCATTATGAGTAATCAGGAACAAATGGATGAAAAAACAAACATGCCTCTCGGGGCTTTAGGTGTCACTCGATCCACATGATTTGTGACCTCTGAAAAGGACATCAAAGAATCTGAGCACGTGTCCACCTTGAAGGATAAGGGGAAAAGTCAGAACTATATTTCACCTCCAATGAGAAGGGTGCCTGTGTGTGCGTGTGCGTGCATGCATGTCTGTGTGTGTGTGTGTGTGTGTGTGTGTGTAGAGCTGTTATCTCCTATCCATTATCAGCCGCTAAGCTCTTCTACCTGTAAAGGGATTCCCATTTTTACTGGTTTCACCACTATAAAGCATGCTTTACAGGAGTTTTGCCATCTTCCCCCAGGAAGTTCTCTGAGAACTAAACATTCACATTTATGAAATCTTAGTAACCTCTGAGTGGGTAGAAGGGAAATGAATTTCCCCACCACTATTAGGATAACCATGTCCTGCCACAAGCCCGGGTCACTGCAAAGTAACACGAGAAACATTCGATAAATTGATCCGCCCTTGGCTCCCAGTTCAAACATTCTCACCAAGTCCTTCCCTTCCTCCAAATGTGAAAGGCATTCTTGAGCACCTGAGAATGCCATGCTGAGCCTTTCCTGTCCTGGAGGAGATGGGAGAGCTGCAGCATCCCAGCAACCAGCAGGCGGTAGAATCAGCTTGCTTGGTTTCTTTCCACTCTGCGGTTGCATCTGGGGTTTCGTTTTACTCTACCACCTATTTGCTTTAGCTTTGAAAAATAAAATATGGAGAAACTGGGGTGGGAGGCAATAAGTAGTCCCCAGGATTCTTAATAGTATCCTTGGTTCCTGCTACTTTGCTTGAGACTTGGGCTGAAATCAACAGTTTCGGTAAACTGTCTGTTCCTTCTCTCTGTCCTGCCCCCTCCCAGCAGGGCAGCTGTCCTCCCCCAAACATCCTTTCTGTGGCCAGGAGACCCTAAGGAGCCCGACTGCTCATCAAACTGTGGCTTATAAATTCAGGTGTCACAACAAACTACAATTGATACAAACCATGGAGAATAAAGCTAGCTACAAACTCTAGTTTGAAACCATGGTTTGATACTAACCGACAATCCAATCTGTCTGCATTCTGATAAAACCAGAACCTGCACTACCATTTTGTTACTAAATTCAGTCCAGGATCTTCCCAGCATATCCATAAAACAGAAGGACCGCAGGGTGTACATGCAGTTGTCTGAAACAGCATCCATACTGGGTTATGCCATGATTTGAAGAAGTGTAATGCATATCTGTATCCTCCCCAGCCCCACCTTCCTGTTGTCGTCAACCTGCATTACCGAACAATGCACAGAAGTCCCTACTTTTTAAGACTCTTTATCATTTGCATGCAAAATCCACAAAACGTCCACTGAGCATTAGAGCTGCCAGGTTATCCATCAAAGAACTGGGCATTCAGGGAGACATCAAATAGTCTAAGAAAAGAAAGTCTCTATATTTAGAAAGCAGAGCTCATTCTCAGGATGCAGTGCCCTAGTTCTGACCCAATTGCACAAGAAGCCCAACAAGGGCGCAAGACTGCATTGTTTCTCTGCCATCATGTCACCTCCTTCTCCTTCTGTTTTATTTATAAGAGGTCAAGACAGACCTGTGTCTTTGTTTGCATAGTCAAAATGTCAAGGGCTGAGTTTTGTAGGTGGCTGAACAGGGTACACATACCCTAGATCTTTACCAGGTCAAGAACAGAGTTGAGATACTTTGGTACCAGAGGCGGGAAACCCAGAGAGGTGCCCTTTGTCCTACCAAAATACAATAACACACACACACCCCAAAAATCTACAATTTGCTGAACCTTTTGTGGGCTGTCTCATTGCGTCTACTGGTAAGGTTAGTCTAGACAGGGATTGCTGGTCATCCTCAGAAGGAAAAGCCTCTGTTCAATTGTCCAAAGAAGGAAAAGGCTCTGTTCAACTGTCCAGTGAGCTAGGCAGCTCAGAAGAGGTGGCCATAAGAGAATAAGAACTACAGAGCCAGCTAAGGGACCACAAGGGAACTTTCTGATAAGCAATAAGAGAGCCAGTTTGGTGTAGTGGTTAAGTGCGCAGACTCTAATCTGGGAGAACCAGGTTTGATTCCCCACTCCTCCACTTGCACCTGGCTGGATGACCTTGGGCAAGCTGTAGCTCTGATAAGAGCTGTTCTTGAAAAAGGGCAGTTTCTGTCAAGAGCTCTCTCAGCCCCACCCACCTCACAGGGTGTCTGTTGTGGGGAGGGGAAGGGAAAGGAGTTTGTAAGCCGCTCTGAGACACCTTTGGGTAGTGAAGGGCGGGGTATAAATCCAATCTCTTCTTCTTCTTCTTCTTCTTCAAGCTCATGAAAGTGGAACTGAACACCCACCCTCAACAAGCTCATGAAAGTGGAACTGAACACCCACCCTCAACCCACCCTGAACCTCAGTGCTGCTTCTTTTCTCAAAGTCTGGCCAGTCTATACATTGTAAGAAAAACTCTGCAAGTAGAAAATTATGGCCAGGAGAAATGTCCATCCCAGCCTTCTTTTTACTTAAATTCCATTTTTCCTGCTTGCAAGGATTTTCGTACGTGGAGAAAGAGGAGGGGAGGCTTGCAACAGACCATGTTGCCAGACCTGCCAGACCTCTGGCCAGCTGGGCTACCAACCAGGCAGCCACTTGCTGGAATGAGTTAAAATCCCCTGCCACACAATTTTGATCTTCTGTCAGCCCCAGGAGTTTCCAGGGAGAGACCAGTCTCAATGCCACTGAGACAGAAGACACAAGGTGGGGCTCCGTGCCTTCAGACAAACAAAAGGAAGTAGTGTGTAGTGTACGTCTAAAAAGCTGTATAGATGGAAGATTTCCCCCCCTCCAGTAACACTGCATTTTTGCCCTTGCACAAGGGGCTTGCCATTCTGCTCCCCCTAAGATTTTAAAAATTGCTCAGTCCGCATAATTTGTGGCTTTTTGAAAACCATGCCAAGAGTTTAAAAGCTGCTGGCTATCTATCCCCCCTCAAAAAAGACAGATGAGGGGGAGGAGAATTGTTATTACCATATTTGGCATCCACTCTGTTTCCCATGTGGCCCTCCCCCGCCCCCTTCTGATAATTAGTTATATAAAACTGCGGCCAGGCTAAAAGTGTGCTGTTATCAGGATTGCCAGTTAGAAGTAATGTCTGAGAACAAACTCCTGCAAACCACATCCATCTTGCTCGCAGGAATTCCACAATGAAACTGAGGTTCCCAGTTTTACTGTGGAATGCACTGCTTAAAAATTAAATCAGAGAGGCAGACTCATTCCTCTTGTGGGCACCTAGGGAGACTTAATCAGCAAATATTTCTATTAAACCAGGTTGCGAAACAAGCAATGTTCTGGCTTTGCAACCACAATTCATGAGTCATTCACCTCCTGATTCAGAAAAAGAGGGGGGGGGGGGGGAGAAGAGAGACAGAGACAGAGGGGAAAAAATGCTGTCTGCCCAAACTAAGCCTGGAAAGATATTTTAGGATTCACCAACTGGGCACAACAAAGTCTAGGACTTACCATCAAACTTTTTGTATCTGGAACTGAAGGTCGCTTGCAAATTACTGCTAAGTTCGACAACAGCATTTCTGAAGTCGTGTTTGCTCTGCTGGCTGTATTTCTCTTCCATTTCTTGAGAGCAGCATGTGTAGCCTTGGGAGCAGACTTTCAAGTGATCGCCTGAAAACATATTGAAGGTGGAAAATTACACACAGGTCTAGAACAACCATTTGAAGGGAGGATAAGCATGGTAGTGCCAGGGTGTAAAGAAGCACTGCAAGGTTGCCATTTCAAAAGAACATTTAACATACCACACGAGAGAGTCATCTTCAGCCCTGCACTCCTAGATTCTTAGGAAGCTTCAGACTTTGTACATTTGGCATGAGAACACTTGAAGAACTCCATTTCCAAAGAGAAATGGTCACCTTATACCCATCCCCACATCAGTCGTCACCCTCCATTGCCTTGCGAAGTCAGTGCTTCCTACAGGATGTATTGAGTCAAGGGAAAGGGTATTGCTCATTAACACAGTACTGGAACCCGCCCCCTCCAGACCTTAGAATTATAAGGTTCTTAATCTCCAGACCATTAACTGGGTGGCCTTGCCTAATTCTCACCTGATTCCTGCCTCAATGCCATCCTACCTAATTTCCTGCCCCACCAAAGCAGGAAACCGGCATATTTGACCAGGACCATCCTTTTCCATATGTAACACCGCAAAAACAAAAGTAAAAATAAAATCTTGCCCTAGTTGAGGAAGTGGCTAATTAGGCTCTGCCTTCCATTCATTATTCTACTTTTTACTACTCCCCATCTCCCCCCCCCCACTGTTTGATATACACAACTTATTTTGGTTCCGCTAGCTAGAAGGGCAAGCGGTTAGGCATAGAAGCCTTGTTCGCTATCCTCCTCTGAATTCTGCTCAGCTCTTTCTTTGGAATCTGACCTTTCACAAGGCATTGCCCAACCTGGCTGAAGCCTACCACAAGGAAACTTTTATATAAAAGCAGATTCTTAGGAAAAGGAATACTTCACCTGACAGTCAGCTTTGCTGTACTCCAATGCAACACAGTTCTGCCCACTTAGAAGGTGATTTAACTTAGGGTTGCCAAGTGGTACTTACCTCCTCCGCAAGGGACTCCCAGGCGGCTCCCGGCGCACGCGGGCCGCATGCACGTCACTAGGAAGTGACGTTATGACGCCGGGCACGCTGGGGGCGGGGCCACGACCATACAAGGGAAAACCATAGAGTTTTCCCTTGTATGGCCGTGGCCCTGCCCCCAGTGTGCCCAGCGTCATAGCCTCACTTCCTGGTGACGCGCATGCTGGGGTGGGGTTCCCCCCGGGACCCGATTCCCCGGCATCGGGGAACGGGCCTCTGGGGTGGGGGTTTCCCCGCCCCCCGGGGCGACTTGGTAGCCCTAATTTAACTTCACTACTACAAGAGAGGTGATACAGGGGTAGCAGTTAAAATGTTGGACTGAGACTGAGGAGGCCTAGGCTTGAATCCCCACTTGTGGCATAAAGCTCACCATGTGACTTGGGGCCAGGCATTTCCTCAGTCTCACTTGCCTCACCGTCAAGGACTCGACAAATTTGTGGGGAAGGGTATGTCTACAAATGACAGTTAGTCATGACAGCTACATATAACTTCTAAATGTTAGCTATACTCCTATACAGTATACTTCTAAATGCCAGACACCAGGACAGACGACGTCTGAGTTCCCAGTGGCACCTGCCTGACTTCTGTTGGAAACAAAATTTGAACCAGATCAGCCTTGGCGTAATCCAGCACGGCAGTCTCTTCAAAATTATTTCTAACTTCAGCATCCCTAAGGTTGAATTGGTAGTGCAGCCTCAATGAAGCATAGGCAGAGTGCTAACTAGAAAACACCGGGGGCAGCGCAGCTGTTCCTCGTCAACAGGCTGTGCGGAGTCCTTGGCTCTCAAGTCCGGATCCATCCTTCCTTCCTTTCAGGAAGCACTAGCTGGGATTCCCAACCCCAAAATATCTTCCCCTCCTCTCAACACATCAGCTTGTCTCATCATCCTTAATGGTTTACTACTTCCTCTCAGAATCAGTTATAAAAAGAATCCTGGCCTGGCCTAATCCAATTTCACACTAAACTTGTGGTCTCCTTATCAAGCAGCATCAGGGCTCTCTTTATCACTGCTAATTACCACATTCCCCCAAAAGAGAGGCACCGGAGTGATGAAGGACAACAAGAAGTGATGGGGGGAGAACATACCTGATATTAGCATATATGTAGTACGGAGGCATAAAATTCTGATAAGTTGGAGCTTCAGTTTCCTAGAGGATTAACACTGGTGTTCTCACAATAAGTCACGTGGAAGAGGAAGACGTGGCCTCTGGTTGAAATATTTTTTTCCAGAGTGTTTATATGCCACCTTTTCATGTAAAGAATACATCCAAGACAGCTTTCAACAGTAGCAAAATAATGGTGGGGAGAGACTGTGTAGCCCCAAGAGGGGAAGTTAGCCACCCTCCCATCCCAGTAGCCATTTTTTTGATATCAAATGGTTCCAAAATGAATAATACAGGAAGGGAGGTAGCCTGGCAAATGAACAGAGCCTTGCTAGATTAGAGCAATGCTTCATCTTGTCCCAAATCACCTTTCCCTATAACGGCCATCCAGGTACCTAGGAAGGTCTACAAGCATGGCATGGGGGCCAAAGCCTCTTTCTATTGTTGCTCCCCACCAGAGCAAGTGCTACTTGGAGATACACTGTCTCTGAACACATAGGTTCCATTTAGCCATCATGGCTAATGTCCTTTGATAGACCTATCTTCTGTGAATTTTAAAGCCATCTAAGCTAGTGGCCATCACTGCATACGTTCCATAAGTTTATGGTTTGTATGAAGCAGCATCTTCTTTGGTTTTTTTGATGTCTTGTACATTAACGTCATCAGATGTCCCTTGTGTTCTACTATGGGAGAAAGAGAAGAAGCTGTCTTGATCCACCATCAAGAGACCAGTTTGGTGCAGTGGTCAAGTGTGCGGACTCTAATCTGGGAGAACCAGGTTTGATTCCCCACTCCTCCACTTGCACCTGCTGATGTGACCTTGGGTCAGTCACAAGCTCTGGCACAGCTGTTCCTGAAAGAGCAGTTTGTGTCAGAGTTCTCTCAGCCCCACCCACCTCACAGGGTGTCGGTTGTGGGGAGGGGAAGGGAAAGGAGTTTGTAAGACGCTCTGAGACTCCAAGTGAAGGGCCGGGTATAAATCCAATCTCTTCTTCTTCTTCATAAGAACTGAAGACAGCCCATACTTCTTCTTCTTCTTCTTCATCATCATAAGAACTGAAGACAGCCCATGGCCCAGAATGCCAGAGGGCCAGTGGGCAATCACAGTGCTGGTAATGCTGAGAGAGGGCTGGAGGGAGGGGGGTGCTCCATGAGCTACAGAGGCCATCAGAAACAGCTGCAGACTTCCCATTTGAGAGTTAATGCAAACCAGTCCTTAAAGGTGCCACTGGACTCTGACCAGTGTTCCCTCTAAGCTGAGTTAGTGTGAGCCAGCTCACAGTTTTTTAGCCTCCGGCTCATACATTTTTGTCTTAGCTCAAGAAGGATGGTTCCAGAGCAAACTAATTTATGCAGTAGCCAAATTGCTCGCTCACAACTTTCATGCCAGTAGCACACAAAGTAGAATTTTTGCTCACAAGACTCCACAGCTTAGAGGGAGCATTGATCATGTCTAACTCCGACTACAGCCAGGGGGAACACTGTGCACACTATTGACAGCAATTTGAACAGACACCCTTATTTGAAGTATAAAATACTAGTTGTTCTTGTTCAGTCGCACAGTCAAGTCTGACTCTTCACGACCCCGTGGATCACATCACGCCAGGCCCTCCTGTCTTCCATCATGTTTTGGGAGTTTGGTTAATACTAGTACTTAATTTTAAAAAGCCATTTCTACTTAAAAAACAATCTTTCATGGCATGCAAATGCACTTACATCCTAGCCTCTCCCATCCCTTCGCTATTGCTTTTAGACTGTATGCTCCTTGGGGACAAGGACTTTTGTTTTTGCTCCCAGCACTTGTGCACTCTGAAGGTGCCATACAAATAAATCAAATTATTGGGAGGAGGCTGAAAAAGAAAGAAAAATATGACCACAGCTTTGTAAATGTCTTTAACTGGCCCACAACAAAGTTTTCCAAGCCTGCCTTGTCTAGGTTAGTTATGGATGAGCCTGTAAGAAAAATGAATCAGCTTGATTCCAGTTCCCAAAAGCTGGTCACCTGATAACTCTGCTCAAACATACAAACCTGCCTTATGCTGAATCAGACCAATGGTCTGTCTAGCTCAATCTTGTTTACTTTGGCTGGCAGCAACTCTCCAAGATAGTGGAGAAAGATTTTCACATCACATGGTATCTAAGACCCATTACCTCAACCTGGGACCTCCCCGCGTGCAAAACATGTGCAGTGTCACTGCACATAAACCCTCCATGATACACATCAGAAACTGCCTTGTACCGAGTCAGACCATTTCTCCACGTAGTTAACCCTTGTCTATTCTGACTGACAGCAACTCTCTGGGATCTTGGGAAGAGAAAGTTTGACCCCCAAAATCTGTTACAGGAAATGCCTGAACTGGAGATGCTAGAATTTGAACCTTCTATATGCAAAACATGTGCTCAATCACAGAGCCATCCATGTTCCCCTCCCTGTTTTTCATGTCGGGGGGTGCTTATGCTATAGTAATTAGGTGTGCTGAACACATATTCAAATTTAATTTGGCATTTATTTGGGCAGTTTTCTAATAAAAATTCCATCCAATACATTACAGCAACCCATAACACTGAAGCAAATTCTTGCAAGATTGCCAAGTGGCTAAGAAACCAGCTCTTAGATTTGTCCTGCCAAGGCCAAATGAGAAGGAACTATTTTCAGCAATGCTTTTGCTGTGTGTGTTAACTCAGCTGCTGGTTGGTTGTCTGAGTCTGAAGAATATACAATTTCTTCCATGATAGAGCTCCCTACCACAAAACAAGAAATTTTAATTATTTCTGTGGCATGCACTTAAAATACCCCGCACAACCAAAGGTTGTCTGGATTTTTTTTTTTTTTTAAATTCATTTCACTTGTTGACAGCTTAGGGCTCATGGATTTACTGCAGAGAGAACACCAGACGAGAGAGAGAGAGAGAGA